GGTAAGTGGATGCTGTGGCCCATAGACATCATATTTATCCTCGATTAATAATCAAAACGCAGATGAGTGGTCACTCCTACGGACTAAGATGAAATGCTTCATTTCCAGTACAAAAGGGTCTCCAGATCTCTACACTCATCATACAAAACACAGCAGTATTAAGCTGCTATTTTACGCTGGTATTTGGTCCTTCCCCGGTCGAGCCGACCCATTCGTGCTACAGCATACATATTACATACAGTACCGGTATGCAATATGTATGTTTATATATAGATAAACATACATATTGTGATATTACATACAGGTAATGTATGTTACTATGTTATAAACACGGAATGTAGGAGAATTACCGTGGCGGAAAAGTAAGCTAAACGTGTTGAAAGATAAAATTCTTATAATGTTACACAATATTTTCACTTAACCATCGTCCGAAATATTCACACGATCTTTGAGTTAAGTCAACATGAAAATCGAGTGATTGTTGATGCAAAAAGTATCATGAAAATCTATACATATGTAAACGAAACTAAAGTGTCTTTCTGTGTGTAATAACACAATGACTGCCTTATATTGAGCTGAAGGGGTTACCTTAACACGACTACTAAACAAGACATGAATAACCATTTTTAAAATGGTTTTCATTGTCTATCATATATCTACAAAAAAATATCCGTTTGTCTATACAAGCTTTTTTTTTATAAAGTAAGACCACCTGATGGTAAGTGGATGTTGTGGTCAATAGACATCAACATTTATCTCAGTTACAAAATGCTCGAAACGAATCAATATGCAGACGCCTTGTCACCCCTGAGGACTAAGATGTAATACCTCGTTTTCAGTAAAAAGGGTTTCTCTATAATCTTCAGAATGGCCGAACCGATGGTGATGAAACTTTACGAACATATAGTAAGCAATGTCAGGAGGAATTTGGGTTATATTTAATCAGAAAAACTTAGTTTTTTTTTTAAACTAAAAATTAATAAAATAAATGTTCTTTGATTATAATCTAAAAAACTAGACGAATCCAGGGCGCGTCGCTAGTCTGTCATAAATACCCTGAATTAAAATTAAAACCCTATAATATTAAACATATTTGAAGCTACTACCCATACACAAATAAGTAATAACCATACCTATTTAGTTTTACAGCAGCTAAATTTTACCGTCGATCTTTTACGACCACTTGATTGTGAGATAACACTATAAAAACAGCTGCTACTAGTAGTGTTTTATTGTGTTGTTACTTGTTATCTAGTCGAGCGACCTCAAATCTTTCCGTACAGATGCACAAGCTCCCCTCTACTGTTTCCGAAGAAATGACAATCTCCAAGCGCATGCGTAGATATTTGATTGACTTCGACTACATTGATGATGTTCTCATTTTATTTATGTTGAAGTGTTTGTAGGTACTATTTTTTTTTAATTTTACCACTCGTTGGGACTTGTTCCCTGAGGATAAAAATTATGGATACTTTCCAGCCATGAGCGTACTTTGAACGTAAGCATGATAAACACATACTATTCTATAATATTTTGTTTGCGTGTTTTAAAAAAAAGTTTGTGACACAGACATCGTGATATCTAGTGTGATACTCGTATGTAGAAAAAATTAAACAAGATAAGAACTAACATAATAACTAAATAAAATTAAGCGCTATTAAGTCAGTGTCAACATATAACTGTCCTGTTCAAGACATAGGTAAATATTATAAAAATGTGGCTACGATTAAAACTAACTCTGTAGTCGTATCAAAAGTAAACGCCTTGCAAAGAAATTTTACAAGGTTTAAGATGTTTATTTTTTATATTTTTGATAGGGTAACAAATGAAATTGATTATGGCTTATATTATTTCACTCACCAGATATCACCACTTGACACTGAGGTAAAGTTTTTTGTTACGCAATGTCATTTAATTTAGAATGTAAGTTTTAAATAGAAGTTTATCAGTTTCTAGAGTATTAATTTAATTCACAAAACACTGACTCAGTGCTTTTTTCTTTAATTTTTTTGCACATTTAATCTCTTTTTTTTACTTTTATGAATGTTTGTGGTTTGGTTAATTTATTTTTAATCTAATTATTACAAAATATAACTAATAGCACATGAAGAAACATTAACCTGTACATTTTTCGTACAAATTATGGAGTGTAGAAATAAGGAGTACAGACTGTGTATTAAAAAGTGTCCATAGAAAACCGTTAAATAAGGGTGGCGCCACTATAACTACGGGGTAAATTTTAAAGAACGCACCGAAAAATATTAGTCGGATAGATGACTTTTTCGAGATTATATTTACTAAATAAAATTATTTTAGATTTTAGAGCTACTGAGCAGTTTAGCAGCACACTTAAACCGTCGACAACTGCTAAGTTCATTCCATCCCAGTAGCTACTCCAGCGCTGTTGTGGAGGGTTTTTGAACTGTTATTTACTGCTTACTTAAAGATGGCCACTTTTTCAACTATTCTACTATGGAAGTTGGTACTCCTTACTTCTACACTCCATAGTACAAATGAACTAATAAACTTCCCCACTATGAAATCTGTCAAATATTACAACTCATTTTAAGTGGCACCGCCCTGGTGGCAGAAAAAGTCGTGAATATGGCCCTCATTGAATGAGGGCTAATAATTTTCCGCTCACTAGATGCCGCTAGTTGACACTGAAGTGATGTTTTTTTGTTACACTAACTCATTTAATTGAGAAGTTAGTTTTAAATAAAAGTTTATCAGTTTCTAGAGTATGATGTTATTACACTAAACAATGCCTCATTTGCTCTTTAATTTTTTGCACATTTAACAATTTTTTTAATTTTTCTACTTTTATGAATGGTTGTTATGTGGTTTATTTATTTTTAATGTAATTAAGGTAATATATAATAGTACAAAAAGAAACATTAACCTTTACATTTTTTGAACAAATTAAGTTGCCCGCTATGAAATTTGCCCTCATTTTAGTGGTGGCATTTAATTTAGTAATTGAACATTTCGTATCAAAATAAACATAATAAAATTGTTAAAAGGAGTGCAGCCATATTTTATTCGTACTTTATTCATATACGTCGCCACTCACCTACGCCTTCGCCCTACGTTACGATCTTGAAGATTAAAAATTGCGAGCAGCTAACTCCATTCCGTCTATATTTGGTACACTCTAACAAGATAATGGTAAGCATCCTATTTACATCTTTGTATGCTACATTTACTCATAACATATTTTCTTTACTTTGAATAATTAATATGCCAGTGAGTAACAATTTCACTTAGTTCCTAATACTTACTCTTTGTATTAGGAACTAAGTGAAATTATTCAAGTAAATAATAAACGACCTTACATATAATTTTATTTATAATAGAGCCACGGTACGTTAGCTTAGTTAAATGAAATAAATCAATTTAAGTTTTTATGAAATTAATTAATTGCACGGTAAAAGGTTTTTGCAATTACCTCATCCAAGTATATTATGCCAGTTATATAATATTCTTTTTTTAAAAGTTTAATCCAAAAACTACATTTTGGATTGCTTATACGTATTTAGATATTAACCAAAAAAATCTATACGCTGTAGAGCCACGCTGCAGCTGTAGTTTGTAGCAATAGGGTAGGACCACGCTCTCACAGAATACCAGTGTATAGCGGCTTCATACAGAGTTTTCCACATTCTGAATATACATACAGCCTTAGATGCTCCAAGCATAGAACTCCACATAGAAAAAAAACAGATATGACACCGCTATTAGGACTGCAGTACCTGTATATTACTCACAGAGTGCACTTTAAATACTGAATGTTACTTTAACTTTAACTTTTATTTACGTCGTACAGCTATGCTGCACCTATATTATGGTTGTAGCTTGAATAGATCGGCTCGAACAGGGTACCACGCTCTCATATACCAAAGTAAAATAGCAGCGCAATGCAGCTGTGTTTCTTACGGTGAGTGTAGAGAACCGGAGATCTTTTTTTACTGGAAATGAGCCATCTCATCTTAGTCCTCAGCGGTGACAACACATCTGCATTTTGATTTCTAATCGATGATAAATGTAGATCTCTATGGGCCGCAGCATCCGCTTACCATTAAGTGGACTGTGTGCTCCTTTGTCACCCTTATTTTATAAAACAAAATATCGCATAACCTAGATTGTAACGGACGAAATACATCTCAACCATAATTATAAACGCAAACTTAATTACAACTTAAACGTTAGGGCAGTTTTATTTTTATATACTTACTAACTTATGTAATTAGTGTGGTGAAAAAAAATTAAGACCAATGATATACCTAAAAACCTAATAAAATAATAGTTTCGGATTTTCATACCGCATATCGATCTACTATACGGTTACATAGAAGTCTTTCTTTTGTATTGAATATACACACATCAATTTTGTTTACATAGCGCATTGTGGCAAGTAAACATTGTTTTCCTTATTTACTCGAATGACATTTATTTAGGGTGAACCCTTACCTTATTATTATAGTTTGTAAGGCATTCCGTCTTAGATCTCAGTAATAACAACGCTTCTCTAGCCTTCGTTTGTATAGTAGCCTCTTACCATCAGCGGAAAATAGCAGCTTAATACTGCTGTGTTTCGTATGGTGAGTGTAGAGATCTGGAGACCCTTTTTTACTGGAAATGAAGCATTCTATCTTAGTCCTCAGGGGTGACAACGCCTCTGCGGTTTGATTCTTTATCGAGGATAAATGTAGATGTGTATGGGCCACAGCATCCACTTACCATCAGGTGGACTGTGTGCTCGTTTGATATAAAAAATACGTTTGTAACTTAGATTTAAAAAAAGAATCTATAACATACAGGTTTATTTTTCGTCGTATTTATTCGTTGTGATGCCACACGTAAATATCATGAGATATTCATTTATATTCAGATAACCCCCAAACAAACTACATAATAATATAAATTGTTTTTATTGTGTATGATAATTTTTTGCTTAGTGTTAAAATAAATAATTATAATTAACTGGTGATACGGACACGATGTATAGTTTCGACAAGGATTTGTGGCACGTAAGAGGGCGTGCGCGCGTGGACTCCGAGACGCAGGAGGATGCTGAAGAAAAGCGTAGGTGTTTACTTTTCATGTTATAATTTTTTTATTCATCATCATCATCCGTAAGTATACCATTTACCTTCCAATCCATCACCCCACTTTGTGCAGTGGCTTTTTAAGATGTGGCTATGGGGCAATGTTAACTAAAAAGTGCCGCAAAATATTCAGGCCAGTGATTAGGGGGAGGGGGGGGTGATGGTGGGAGACCATGTCCATGTCATTAATTTCAATCTATGAGGGAAGACTTTGTTCATTAATGAACTTTTGATTAGTGATTGGCCGAATATGGATTTCAACGAATACGAATATTCGGCCGAAAGTTCGGTAAAATTTTTACCGAACCGAATATTCGACCGAACATTATTCGGCAGGATTACCTCGGAACCTAACCAATAAATTATGAAAGACATGACATTAATCAATTCGTACATTTCCATACAGCGGATAGGTACTTTAGTATCGCTTTAACGAATATTCGGTGAATTAGCCGAATATTCGGCCGAATACGAATATTCGGTAAAGCTGCCAAATATGCCGAATACCGAATATAAAACGAATATTCAGCCCATCTCTACTTTTGATAGGTTGAAATGATATTATGTTAAAGTAAAATTAAAATATAGAATAAAATATAATACTATCTTAAACCTCCTACAAACATGTTTTATGTTCAAAGTTTTCATTATTACATCTTTTCAAAGAAGTCTCCATCAGCATCTACAAAAATTTCATATAAGTATGAACCAACTTTCGAGACACTTTCCAGTCCGCCTCTGACCTCCACTACGCCTTGCTTGTACGATGCTAATGCGTCTTATGGCGATGAAAACTTTTAGTTAAAAAAAGAAAAATTAAAACCCCTTCAGTAGGTTTTTATTTTCGGAAATCACATGATGCTAAATCAGTGCTGTAATGAGGATGACACAAAAGCTTAACCGATGTGGTCCATGAACTCTCACGTTTTGAGTACAAAATGGGTGACTCTGTTGTCATGGAGAAACGGTAGCCCACGTAACCTCGTGTTCGGTCTTGCTTGTTGCCCATAATAGTGAGACTTCTGATAAGCGATTAACACTTACGATCAAATTCTTTCCTGATCTTCTCGATTGCTTCTGTAGCGCGCCACAGTTGATAGCACTAGCGCCATCTATTATCGAACAGAGGAACTAAGCTTTCTAGATAACTCCACACTCGAATTTTCTACATCTAGACGGTCGAGACCGGTATTTGCTGGAACATTCTAGATGTTTCGGTGGAAAGGCCTATGTAAGGCCGTTATGGGTGCGTGACCGGGGAAAAATTGAATTGGCGCTATGAGCGAAGCTTTCGGAGTGAAATTAAGTGAAATAAAGTGTTAAGTGTGAATAATTATTAGTGTGATTTAAGTTTTAATTGGTGTAAAGTGACAATTTTGGTAATTCAATCGGCAGTTTTTCTTGTCACGAACCCTAAGCTCGTGATACTTCGCTTTAGTGGGCGTTGGTTCATTTTGAAACAGATAAAACGAAAGAAAGTATCGATTACTCCAGGATTCATCACTTGTAATAATGTTATAAACGCCCGAGACGAGCCAGTTTCAAATTTGGTAATTGTGTCCTGGTATGTAGGTGCCATTTCTCTTCAGCGGTGCCAAGTTAACTGTCGGTATATCGAAGTGTTGAAGTGTTTGTACTGTAGGGCTACGATGGCTATCCAAGTACAGAATCGTAGTACGAAACCTATACAACTGCAGAGAGGTGTGACAAAGACAGGGTGACGTCATATCCCCGAAACTTCACCGCAGCGGTGAATTGGAAGACGTTTTCAAGCTACTGGACTGGAAAAGATACGGTATTATTGATTTGCCAACGATATAATCCTTATGGCAGAATCGCTGAAGGACCTAAGCACCATGTTAAATGACTTCAATAGTGCCTCCAAACGGACAGGTCTTAAGAAAAATATGAAAAAAAAACAAAGATCTTGTGTAACGTTCATGTCACACCTATGCCGGTAGTTATTGGGAGCACTAAGCTCGAAGTTGTTGACGAGTATGTTTACCTGGGACAAATAGTCCGACAAGGTACTTAACTTCGACCGAGAGGTCAATCGACGGATTCAACTCGGCTGGGCAGCGTTCGGGAGATTATGACACATCTTCTTGTCAGGTATACCTCAAAATTTGAAAACAGTATTGTAGCACCAGTGCGCGTTGCCAGTGATGACTTATGGACCTGAAACGTGGTCCTTTACTGCTAGCCGTATGAGGAAGCTCAAGGTCGCTCAGAGAGCTATGGCTCTTCACAGCCCTCTGGCTATGCTCGGGGTTTCTCTGCGTGACAAACTTACTTAAAAACTTTTTTTTCCAAAACGTTCAACGTGTCCTGTCGTAGATAACTATATTTGGAGTTGGAATGTACCTACTTATAAATACTCTTTAGTTTTTTAGGTCAGCGACTTGTTACCAGTGCACGTCCGCTATGGTTGAAGTCATTTATTTTAATGCAAAGATTTAATTTATGTTAATTATGACAGTGACAACTAGTTTGAATTTACAGGCGGACATTGATACAAACGAAGTAATATTAACCTACTTTTGGGTGTTACCGCAATCAGATAAAACGTTGATGCAACTGACAAACTTCACCTGACAAACTTCATTTACACAGACAGGTGGACTGCCGAACGCGTAACGTGCAAAACTTCCGGCATACCTACCAACACTAATATATTGAAACTATCTGTGATAGTGTGATACGTTTCGTCTGCCAAGAGTGTCGATTACGGTTATAAAATAGACTGGTTTGAGTCTAGCGATAAATACGTTTTGATTACAATCTCTTCTTTGTTAGCTTCCGACCTTGGCAGAGCGCCTTAAGAGCAGCGGGCAGACAGCAGGCCGTTGTTTATAAGGACACCGTAAGGTCACGAGCCGGCGGTAATTTACTATGCAAACAACATGTTCATTCCTCCTAATATATGTATCTACATAACAGATAGCATCTTATGCATATCAGGAAAGAGTAAGCAGCAATGACTAAGTGTAAGGGACTGCTAAGCAAAACGTGAATTTCTATCGGTAAATATTATTATTGATAATATTCTTTTGTCATTACCATCTATACTCTCTATACACACGTCTATACGTGATAGAGCCATGCTTCAATTATATTAGTAGTATAGTTGTAGCACGAATGGGTCGGCTCGACCGGGGAAGGACCACGCTCTCACAGAATACCAGCGTAAAATAGCAGCTAAATGCTGCGTGTTTCGTACGGTGAGTGTGAAGAACCTAAGACGCTTTCTAATAGAAACAAGGCATTCCACCTTAGTCCGCACGGGTGACAACGCATCTGCATTTTGATTTGTAATCGAGGATAAATGTAGGTCTCTATGGGCTGCAGCAACCACTTACCATCAGGTGGACTGTGTGCTCGTTTGTCACCCAATCCTATAAAAAAACCATTATCATCACAAGTAGATTGCTGAACATAGATCTGCAACAAGGAATGCCACAAATTAGCTGATTGAGATGCGTCTTCCTACACAAGACATGCAGCTAATCGTCCTGCGTGTCTTAAGTAGGAAGTCTTTTTTAACATGGTTGTCATCATATCTAGAGGATCGGACTTTTTACGTTGCGGTCAACGGCTTTCGGTCTGATAATTTTAGTATAACCTCAGGTGTACCTCAAGGATCACATCTTGGCCCTATCCTTTTTAACTTTTTTAAACGATATCCCAGACTACTTAACTAGCTCTTATGTTTTTATGTATGCCGATGATCTGAAATTCATTGGAAGACTCAATGTTATTGCAGAGGATCTGAATAATCTTATTGATTGGTGCAGAGATAACCGAATAAAACTAAATCCGAAAAAATTTTAACATGTGTAAAACTTATTCCATGTAATTATAAAACAGACGAGCATATTATTCAAGAGGTGTAACTGTCAGAGGGTGAATGAAGTCGAAGTCATAAAAGATTCAGAGGTTACTTTTGACAGGAATCTGACATTTATACCGCATTACGAAAACATTTTTAAAAAAGCTTCAAGGCTGCTTGGGTTTGTCATACGAAATAGCAAAGGATTCAGCATTAAAACTAAAAAAATGCTTTAGAATAGTCTCGTTCGTAGCACACTTGAGTTCTGTTGTCTGGCGTCCACACTTTGCGGTTCACAATCTACGCATTGAGCGTATTCAGAAGCGGTTTCTGTGGCTTTTGGCTCGGTTAATTGGTAAAGAAAAGAGAGATTTCTCATATGCGGATAGGCTAAAATTATTCAAAATACTATCCTTGGATAAACGCAGGGAGCTAACAGACCTGTTGTTTCTATACAAAATTCTCAACAATAGAACCAGTTGCCCACAGTTACTAAACGCGTTTGAATTTAGCACTCCTTCAAGATATCTGCGTCATCCGGTAGCTCCACTGAAGCCTCCAACCCGCAGAACCGTTTTTGGCTCCAACTCTCCATTACCCAGACTGTGTAAGCTGCTAAATAGTTATAAAGACATAGTTGATGTAAACTTTGATTCCGCTTACGGTTTCCGTAAAAAAGATTGTCGACAGTATGACTAGTCCTGGTACTTAACATCGTGCAACCAGCTTGTATTTTTTATTACCATACGGATGAACTACGTATTGTTCTTTTAAAATTATTAACTTAAATTATAAATCAAAACCTACTTAAGTTAAAGTTATTATGCATGCTGTGTTTACTAGTAAGTAGTCACTACACTTAGCTTAAGAAAATTTTCTGTTATTTAAGATTGTTATTGTGTAAGTTGACTGTTAGTAAGCCATATGAATAAAAAAAAGTCGGATCTCAATCAGGCTGCAACTCTAGAACCTTTTAGATGACTAATAAAGTAAAGTAATGTTAAAGCCTATATACATCCCACTTCTGGGCACAGGCCTTAATCATTTCTGAGAGGGTTTTAGAGCAAGGAAGTGTCCACCGCGCTGCCCCAATGCCTGTTGGTGTATTTCACATGTCTTCGAAATATTTTTTTTATTTCCCAAACATGCGGGTTTCCTCACGATGATTTCCTTCACTGTCGATTACGTGGTAAATTAGAACTTAAAATTGCAATTAACAATTTAATTGGTGCTGGCGGGGATAGAACCCTGTTTGAACGCCTACTGTGAAATTTACAGCGAGCGCTAACTATCTGAGCTAACCCGGCTCTAGATGCTAGGCAGTTTTTGAAAAGCCGGCCTCGGGTGTTGCAGTTGTTCATTGGCGGCAGTAGCCACTTACCTTTGGTTGAGTCGCATGACTTTTGCCCTTTCTTCTATAAAAAATAAAAATCTTTATTACGCATCGGTTATCGATCCTTTGAGACGGCCAATTGCCACTTCAGATTACTGGTTCGCTAGTTTATTTTAGTCACTCTTATTCCTATCCTATCTCGGGTTTGAATTACCCAAAAAATTAATCAAAAATCGCCGCGGGAAGCACGTAAGGCCATCGGTCCTGCACCTGATCTTTCTCCGTTCGTGTTCGATTGCCGTTCAATGGTACTAAAGATGTGGAAAAAAAGAGGAAATGACGGAATTAAGAGTGCACCTGGGCTTGCACACGCACTCGTGCACTATAATCCTGTCAGTCAGATGGCTTGTTTTCGTTATGCCTTGGCGCCGTGACCGACATTAGGTCTAGAGGACATTACATTTTATGTCAACCCCTTACGTCTTATTCTTCATTAGACCATAACTTTATTACGACTAGTGCTGGGGTTGGTTTCATCTTTAAAGGAAGATTTGCAATAAATTCCACGCTTGTCTGTCGCCAATTTGATAAATTTTCAGTCTTGAGGTCAAATATTTAAGTATGTTAATATAATTTCTCATATCATATTTATAATAGACCGATAATCGCTTGCCAGCAGAGTAAGGACCGCGAACGTAAAAGTCTTGAGGATGAATCTGTCGTTATTAGTAATTTTCATATTGTTGTTAGTATTCTTACAATATGATCTACATTATGATTTTTTATATTTATATAAACATATGGCGGTGTGAGAATATCCACTACCCCAAGGGTGGCGGATCTGTATGCTTAAACGTGCAATTTTTCTAAAGAAATATTTAATTAGGTAATAGACATATGTAAAACAATTTTGATTTCGAGTATTGGGAAAATAATAGTACTAAATACTATCGACTCAGAACTTTAATTACTGCAAAAATATAAAGAGTTTTGAGTAGTTTTAAGTGAGCTGTAAAATACATTTTGCAATGTATAAATAATAAATGTTTCAGTTATACGCGTAATTCAAATTAAAGTAACATTACTGTGACTTCCGTTGTTGCAGACAAATAAATTGGGGTTGTAAAACCCTAAATATAACACGAATGAACTTTTAAATACAGTGGTGTCAACGAAATTGACTATATGCTAATGCGTAAACGAACTATGCATTCCTTGGTGGACTTGTGAAGGAACGGCTGTAATGACGATGATGATGAAACGAACAATGCGCCATTAACAATAGTAGGCCACGATGTAACTAGGATCACCCGCGTTCGTTCGTAATATAATAATTCATAGTGAATTTTGTGATCGGTGGCGTGCCCAAAATATTGTGTCGCGCTTGCGTGCCATCGATTACACGCGTGCCATTGGTTCACCATTCCTGCACTACCCCTCAATATCGTCCCGTGAGTGTCGTAAGAGGCGACAGAGGGAAACTGAGGCAGGAGATGGTCAGCAGCAACTTCCTGATTACAACCCATAATTATAAGGAATTGCGGTTGTCAACACAAGCGGTTTGCGGTGACAAGTGTGGCAACTATGGCAAAATCCCCCCGCTGTAAATCTTTGGGGGAGGCTGTTCATCAGTGGACTTTTGTAGCATGTAATGGATGGAGACTCGAACACTATACATAGAAATAAACTAATTTTTCCGATTGTATCGCGTTTGATTTTACTCATTTTTAATTCCCGACGTATTGAGTGCATTAGAGCACCCATGGTCACGGTAGGGGGGGGGGGGGGCTGAGGCGTTTGACGCCCCAATTTTATTGAATATGACCTACAAAATAAATGTGCCGTATGAACGTTTATGCTTGTGCAAACCGTACCAGACTATATAATGCATGGGAACGGATTATATTTAAAGGATTAAATGTGACATTTAACAGGATAATTCAATGTAGTGCTTTAATCCGCATAATCTCTTTATACAAGAATTACTTGTTTTCGAAACATAGAATTGCACATGTATGCAAATTGTCTTTCGTTTTAAACAAAAGGATTCGCCCTCCATTAAATTTCCGGAGTAGGCATGGTATTTAACTTTGATTTTTCGATACACCATAAAGACACATAAGCAACAAACTCTTTGTTGGAGATAAGTCAAACTTATATTTTAGGTTGCTCGGCGGCAACCTAAAATATAAGTTATATAAGTTATTATATAAGCACGTGGTAAATCAGCACTTAAAATTGCAATTAACAATTTCATTGGTGTCGGCGGGGATCAAACCCCGGTTATTCGCCAATAAACGCCAATTTCATATATAAGGACCTATTAGATTTCCGAAAAGTAACGCCTGATTCTATTCATTGGCATATCCAATGAATGTACAAGTTGTGCCGCATCTACATGCTTACTACGTAGTACTATTATTTGTTCTGTGATACTACATAGTTGTATTACAACAGCCTAGAAGAACATACAGTCAGTCATTGGTCATCGCGTTTGATGTTGTCGGAAAAGCCGACATAAACAATAAATTGCTAGGGTTGTCCGAATGGGAAATAATAAATTATTTTATTTCATGTTTAAACAAATTCCTGTGTATGTTGAAATTGATTAAATTTGAATTCTTTACCTTTTAAGGAGGAGGACACACAGTTTTTTTACCGCACATGTAATGTGAACCATTTTAATTTATTTGCGTGACAAGCCAACCCTAGCGGATAGCTCCCGACCGACTATTTTTATTTCACGTTTAAACAAATTCCTGTGTATGGAGAAATTGATTAAATTTGAATTATTTACCTTTTAATGAGGACGACCCACATTTTTTTACCACATTTGTAATGTGAACCATTTTAATTTATTTGCATGACAAGCCAACCCTAGCGGACAGCTCCCCACCGACTTTTTTATTTCACGTTTAAACAAATTCATGGGTATGTGGAAATTGATGAAATTTTAATACCTTACCTTTTAATGAGGAGGAGCCACAGTTTTTTTTATAGAAGAGGGGGGCAAACGAGCATGCGGCTCACCTGATGTTAAGTGACTACCGCCGCACATGATCAACCGCAACACCAGGCGAATTGCAGGTGCGTTGCCGGCCCTTTAGAAAGGAGTAAGCTCTTTTCTTGAAGATCCCCAGGTCGAACGGTCTGGAAAAATCGCCGGTGGTAAACTATTCCACAGAGAGGTCGTACGCGGAAGAAAACTCCTTGTGAAACGTACAGTGGTGGACCGCCAAGCATCCAGATGGTGTGGATGGTATCGGGACGTTTGCCGCGTAGTGCGTTCACGAAATTTGGCGGCTGGGATTAATCCGAACAATTCATCAGAGCACTCCCCATGATATATGCGAAATAAAATGCAAAGAGATGCAACATCTCTTCGCAGCGCCAATGAATCGAGCCGATCGGAAAGCACTCGGTCGTCGACGATTCGAGCCGCTTGATGCGCCTGCGCTGGATTCGGTCAAGTGGAAGAAGCTGGTACTGGGGAGCCCCAGCCTGGAGATGGGAACAGTATTCCATGTGCGGCCGAACCTGCGCCTTGTAAAGTTGCAGGCGGTGTGCCGACATGAAATACTGTCCCACTCCGCTGAGCACGCCAAGCTTTTTTAGAGGCCAATTTGGTCTTCTCTTTCAAATGACCACGAACCTGCATGCACGTCACTCAATATGCCGACGCCGAGGATACCGATACTAGCTGAGGCAACAAGGGGAGTGCCTTGAAACTGGGGAGATACGACAAAGGGGTTCTTTTTAGCGATTAACGCGCAAACTTGTGTCTTCTGGGAGTTAACTGAACTAGATTTAGTCGCCCCCAATCCGAGACTCTGTTCAGCAAAGACTCGACTTCAGACACAAGTTTGTCCCGGTACTCGGAAACGTTTTCCCGCGAAATATTGGCACGGCCGGTGTACATAGCATCACCAGTGCTGTCATCTGCATAGCAATCAATGTTACGGGTTTGCAACATATCATTGATATGCAGAAGAAACAGTGTTGGCGATAGCACGCAGCCTTGTGGAACACAAGCATTAATAGGCTTGTAATCGGAGCTTGCACCTTCTACAACGACCTTGATGCTCCGATCTGCAAGAAAGCTGGTGATCCAACCGCACAATTTCTCGGGAAGCCCATAGGAAGGGAGCTTCGAAAGAAGCGCTTTGTGCCAAACCCGATCGAAGGCCTTCGCAATGTCAAACTAACGGTCAATGCCTCCCCCTTGGACTCTACTGCCTCCGCCCATCTATGAGTTAGGTAGACCAGAAGATCACCAGCTGATCGAACACGGCGAAAACCGTATTGGCGGTCACTAATCGGCTGGTGATCCTCAAGGTACCTCATGAGCTGGCAGTTAACAATAGACTCCATTGTTTTGGAGAACAAGGAGGTGATGGCGATAGGCCGGTAGTTGGGGAACTGCGGGACATGTAATGTGTTTTACCGCACATGTAATGTGAACCATTTTAATTTATTTGCATGACAGGCCAACCCTCTCGGACAGCTCTCGAGCGATTAGGTATTATAAGATCTAAGACTAGAAATCGAAAATTTAATGTAACTAATGGCGTTTGATATTTAGCTTTAGTAGTAGTTAATCATAAAATATGTTCATTTGTGTCTATTTCTGTTTGATAATTATTTAATCATGGATTATTTTGTCTACAGGCAGTGAAAGCCCAACAAGTGCTGTCGGGGCGGAGGCCCCTCGGGAACTACCGAATGAATTGTCCGCGCCTTACGAGGTCCCGCAGTTCCCCATTGAACAAATTGAAAAGAAGCTTCTCATACAAAGGCAGCTCAACGTGAAGTAAGTTAAAAATGATAAAATAATTGTTATTTTTCGAACAACACTTTTTAAATTCCTTACAAGTATCAAAAGACCACTATTATTATTAAAATGTGTCACGACGTTGAGTTTTGCTGAACAGGTATTCTTGTTATGGCTACTGATATAACCAAAATAGTATCACTATGGGATGCTTCGTGTTAATTAAAAAAAATACCGTGTAGTGGCCTTAAGAATATCCACTAGGTACCTCATGTCATCCCTTGGTGTCGTAAGAGGCGGCAGAGGGAAGAAAACAGATATAGGCAGCAACGTCCTTATAACAACTAAAGATTATAAATGCGATTACGGACCTGCCAAGCATGGCAACTATGACACATATCCCCCCTATGTAGCGAGGCCAGTCCACGGGTGTACGTGGACTGGCTGGCTTTTTTTATAGGATAGGGTGACAAACGAGCACAGTCCACCTGATGGTAAGTGGTTCCTGTGGCCCATAAACATCTAATTCTCGATTACGAATCAAAATGCAGATGCGTTGTTACCCGCGAGGACTAAGATGGAATGCCTCATTTCCAGTAAAAAGGCTCTCCGGTTCTCTACACTCACCATACGAAACACAGCAGCATTAAGCTACCATTTTACGCTGGTATTATGTGAAAGCGTGGCTCTTCCCCGGTCGATCTGACCCATTCGTGCTACAACTATACTACTAATATAACTACAGCATGGCTGTAAAGGTAACAGTAACAGTAATGCCTTTTTGTGGCAAATGAACACACAGCCTAAATCATATTATTAAGTCGTGATGATCATCAATAGATGTGTTATCAGTCCTGCGGACTAAGATGATAGGTCACGTTGTCAGTTTTGGGATTTTACTTATTGTAATATAAAACATGATGCTGTTTTACACTGGTGTACGTTGATTACTTCCTCGTACACATGACGCGTATGGGACCTAAAACACGTTGGTGATATTTAACATGAATCTCCCGAAATAATTTGTTATAGATATTTACACGCAATTCTGAAACTTTTTTTGGCAAATACAAAGGATTTAATCAAACATATAATTATGTTACGTTAATACTTAAATTTGAAGGAAATTTTATGGAATGAATTTTATAAAATGTTTATAAATTGTTGAAAAAGACGAGAAACTACTACGCCATATCATCTCGTGGGTGTTGTAAGAGGCGACAGAGGGTAATGAAATTCGGGAATGGCAGGAAGCAGCATCTTCCAGCTTCCTGATAACAATCAACATAATAAAAAAACTGCGGTTGTCAATCTGACTCTCCAGCGAGGTTATTCCATTTATCCACCATAAAAAATCCCGGAAACATAAATAGAATAACCTGCCATGCGTAGCAACTGTGGCAATGGCAAGTATTATTATTAAGTAATCAATCGAAATGGAGGAAGTTTCGAACACCTATTATCTCTAAGTGACAATAATTAAATCTTTCCAATATGAATGTTGTTTGCCTAGACAAAAGAAAAGTAAATAGGTAGAACCATTACTGGATACAAGCTGAACGAAATATTTTTAAACACAGGTTTAGTGTTTATGTACATTCCTGCTATTTTGTGTTTGCTGATAAGTACAAAATTTACCGCCCTAGATGTAAGTTAAAACAGTCACGAGTCGGTATTATTAGTGTCAAGTAATTGGATCAACCTTGACGCGACAGTAACCCTTAATGCGGGGGATGCTCAAGTCCATTCGCAATACCTATGATTGCATTTCGGAACGCAGCCCGAGACGGCTGAACGCAGACGTGTCGTGTGTCACTTTCATATTGTTGTTTAAAAAAAGTTATGACGTTTTAGTGGCGGGAACTGGGAAATGGTCTAGGGTTTTTAGTTGTAAGAACTACATAGTTATTTAAATATTTGTAGTTATCATTGTGTACTAAGCTAACTATTTTTGTACATCTGGAAAATTATGTTTGGAAGTAAAGTTGATTGTCAAAAATGGACGTCGACGAGAAATTATCGGTATGTTATTACTATTTTAAAATGTATTTAAAGCGGGAAATCGATAACATTTGACTTTGTATTTTTTTGTTGTTTTTGTTGTTTGGTGGTAGTGACATTGAGCCACTTCAACTCAATATTGTCTGTATTTATGTACCATTTAATATGTTCTCTTGATGAGATTTATTTACTTTTTCCTCTCCAGACGGTCTCTTAGGAGAGGAGTCCCACCACCTAGTGAAATAAAAGGCTTATCCTTTTAAAAAAACTATCAAAGAGTATATAATCATTACGTTTTAAAAAATATTCTTTTAAATCAGGAATTGAGTGCTACATCGTCGGAAAATGCTTTTCAATTTTTTTTTAAATCTGGGAGTATCGAGTACTCGTCACTAGAAGCCAGCAAGTAAAGTGGATGTTTATTTTCTTGGATATAATACACTCGGTATGTGAACCTGTGCGTTGTCTTAAAAAGGAACACCGGCATTGTCAAATTTCCTCTTGTTTATGCTTCAATCTTCTTAATCTTGTGTCGAAATAAGCGACCCGAGTTCAATTCTCGCTTGCACAAATAAGTGTGATCGCAATTTTGAATGCTTATTTACTATATACTTAGCGATGAGAAACATCGTGAGGAAATATGTGGTATCTAAAAAAATCCCTCCAAAAATCCTTTCAGAAATGTGAGGAGACTTAGACCCAGCTGTAGGACATATGTAGCACGCTGTAGACGATATTTATTTACAAAATAGAAAAAGGAAAATTACTTAGAATTAAGTCTTTATATTCGTACATCCCATTGCGAGTCACAGGTCTCCTGTCATTTCTGAGGTAAAAACCAATTGGACCACTGCGCCGTTCTACTGCGTTTGGAGGATATCACATGTCCTATAAATATTTTATTTCTTAGCACGTCTAAAATTGCAATCAATAATTTCATTGGTACCGGCACGGATCGAACCTGGTTGTTCTCGTACTGTGAAATTTACTGCTAGAGTACTTAGTCTCTGAGCTACCATGGCTCTATGCAAAATGAGTAAAAAAGATTATTATAATATAAAATTTTTAAATATACAGTGAGATATTAAAAAAAAATAGCTAGGTTGAATACATTTACCAGAGTCTGTGTTTCCGTCCATTACAATTGGGTGTCTTCAAGCCAAGAGTGAATAGGCTGTTGTTATTCTGAGATAGTGCGATTTATAATCTATGACTTCCTCATCATTTACCTCTAGTGGAATAGAGGTCGAGCGCTGGTTTATAATATAAAAAAATACGATGCAAGTGTCTAAAGCTATATAGTTTATACTTAAATTTATTTGATTAACCTTGCTAATACCTTAAAAATGTTTATCCAGTAAACAAATAACTAAACTGTGACTGTTTACGAATATGGTAAGTTATGACGTTGCTTAGTCTGTACATACAAGGTCGTAAAATATAATATCTACTACTGCGCTTTACCTTTTATACCGTGTACGTGGCCCTTTGTGCACACAGCTTAGACATATAAACACAGTAATGTTGTATGTTTCATAACCCTTCACCAGAGCCGTGGTAGCTCAGACGGTTAGCGCTCACTTTCAATTTCACAATACACGAGCAATTCGGGTTCGATCCACGCTGGCACCAATGAAATTGTTATTGCAATTTTAAGTGCTGCTGTGTTTCGTAATATGGTGAGTGTAGAGAACCGGAGACCCTTATTACTGGAAAAGAGGCATTCCATCTTAGTCCTCAAGGTTGACAACGCATCTTCATTTTGATTCGCAAACGAGGGTAGATGTAGACGTCTATGGGCCACAGATACCACTTACCATCACGTGGACTGTGTGCTCGCTTGTCAGCCTTTTCCTATAAAAAAGTGCTGATTTACCACATGCTCGGCGGTGAAGGAAAACATCGTGAGAAAAACTTCATGTGAAGTTCGCCAACATCCATTGGGGCAGCGCGGCGAATTTCCTTGCCCTAAAACCCTCTCAGAAATGTGAGGAGGCCTGTACCCAGCCGTAGTAGTACGTACCTTAAGTAAATTTTTGACCCGATATTCTCATACATCTTAGTGAGTTTTAGAAGAATTAAAAAGTCCGCTGAGTTGACATGAAACCGAAAACAAAAAAAAAAGAATATTTGTTTGTTTATTTCATCGTTTTCTACGATTTCTTATACTCACCCGACTATGTATTATCATGTTAACCTAGTCGATTTTGCAACCCGAGGTTACTGCGCAGTACTATTATAGATTACAAACTCTAAACATGCGTAAAATTAAACTATAAGTTTTTTCCGAAATTTAAGTCAATGCTTTACAAATATCCGAGTAGAGAGATGTTAGATGATGATGCAAACTTAGGGATAACCGCTCAGTAAAGGCCTATTCACTCTTATCTTGAAGACACCCACATTGTATTCTGACGAAAAGACTGATGCAGGCAAATTAGTAGGTACAATATTTAGCTGTACGCATTATACATGACGAAGCAAACGCTTGTTTTTATAGAATAACAGTTACAAACGAGTACACAGTCCACCTGGCGGTAAGTGGATGCATGGTATGGCCCATAGGCATCTTGACGTTTACACCCGTGAGGACTAAAATATAATGCCTCGTTTCCAGTATAAAGTGTTTCCGGTCCTCTACACTCACCATACGAAATACAGCAGCATTGTGCTGCTATTTCTCTGTGAGAGCGTGGTCCTTCCCCGGTCGAGCCGACCCATTGTTGCTGCAACTATACTACTAATATAACTGTATTATATATATATATATATATATATATATATATATATATATATATATATATATATATATATATACTTTTATTTACTTAAACGATTTACATTGAAAGTTCAGTTCATGTTAGTCCCCAAAAAAGGGATTTTAAGTCTATTTTAGTCTATTCATTAAGAATATTTCAAGGGAAGTAAAGTCCATTTCATTTCAAACGAGAACTTGTATGTTCGATTTGTCTTTTTTTGTCTCATTTAGTAATTTGTTTCTTAAATAAACCTACTGATTATAAATAACCCATTGGTAC